ACTGCTGCTTCCAATTTACTTTAATTAATCATATTTTCAAGCTAAAAAATAATGCTTCCGATTTAATTAACCACTTTACTTTATTTAATCATATGTTCAAGTTAAAAAACAACGAATCTTTAGCACCATTGCAAATAATGGAATGGAACATCCCTTAAGTTATCTTAATGATCAAATTAGTGATCAACAGTAAAAATATGAAAGTCAAAACTCCTGGAATGTACTTATTAAACTCATTTTAGACGGAACTGTTAATATCATAATCAAAGCGAGTAAAGGGTCAGTTTGGTCCTCGAAGTTGCAAAAAAGGCGTCAAATAAGTCCTTATATAGAAAATTCTGTCCGGACGTGCCATTTGAGGTGGCTCCCGGTGGAATTTTGTGATAAATTTTTTTGAGCATCTTATTCATTAAGTCTAGTTTACTCATACCAAATTTCAGCTAAAAATTTAATCGGGAGGACATTCAAATGAATTCTTGAAGATAACTGTGCCGTTAAAAGCGCTGTTATCTTCAAGAATTCATTTGAATGTCTTCCCGATTAAATTTTTAGCTAAAATTTAGTATTAGTAAACTAGACTTAATGAATAAGATTCTAAAAAAATTTCATCAAAAAATTCTACCGGGAGCCACCTCAAATGGCGCGTCCGGACAGAATATTCTATATGAGGACTTATTTAACCCCTTTTTTGCAACTTCGAGGACCAAATTGACCCTTATCCCATAATCAAAGTGATCGAGGGTTTAACCTATAACTAAAATTAATAGAACCTAGATGATTGATCATATATATAAGCAATAAATCCTTGTGGCACCCTCATCGCAGTTGCCGTGATTCAAACCCGAGACCTAACCCTTGTGGCACTCCCTCGCTGCCAGTTGAGCTACGCCCACCGGTATTATATTTCAATATAAATGTTATACGTAAGGTAATCGTCCCCTATCGGCCATTGTCGAGGAGTAGGGCTGGTTTTTCCGGCCAATTGTTGGAATTGGGATGGAGAACCCATATCTCTACTAGCCGTATCTCCCTACGAGTTAGAGTTTCGTTCTTCCGCTTTTGTCATCGATGAAGAGCGGCCGTCGGCCGATTTCGATCGTGCAAGCAGGCTCGAGACCAGGGATGCAGCACTTTGGCGGCCAGGGCTCGACTTCTGCTGTTATTTCTGGTCGAAGGTCGAGTGTTGACAAAGAAAAGGTGGATAAGTTGTGGCGGAGTTTGGTTTCGATTCAATAGCAAGGGATGTCAAAGGAGGATATCGTCAATCAATATAAAAGCATGACTATTAAGGCGGATGAGCGGTGGGCGCTTCCCCCTCCTGAGCCGCCGCCATGGAGTACAAGCGAGTCTAGGGTTTGGAAGAAGATGGGCGAACTCTGTTTTAATTTTGTTTTATTCTGTTTGTGTTTTTCTTTTGAATTGCATGTTGTTTTGGACGTATTCTTATTTACTAGCAAATAGATTATAGAATTTAAGTCAAGTGATAAGAAGTCTGCTTTGTCAGTCATTGGCTCAGTTAAGCCCATTATAGGATCATCGAATGTTATTGCTTCTACAAAGGTGATAGATTCTAAGTCTGATTCGAGGGTGGACGACATGCATAAGGCTTTTTATCGTTTTGTTTACTGCTTTTTCTTTGATTGTATTATCAGCCATGTGACGAACGTTATGTTGATTTAATATATTTGTTGGTTTTAACGATAAAAAAAATGTTATACGTAGTACACAATTTAACTCGCGTTACTCCCTCCAATAATTATTGTATCCCCTTTCATATATATTAGAGAGGTAAATTATGTGTAAGGAAAATTTAAATTGAGGAAAATCGTAATATAAATCACGTATATACAAAATATAACTTGAGACAAATTGAAATGTAAATATACGTGTATGCAAATTTTGTTGGAAAAATGATTTTATAAATTAATATTTTGGTCACTTTTGATCTAAAATATGTAAAGGACTGACTTCTCATTTTTAATGAGATTAAGTCCTAACATATTGTACATCATAAGGTAGATGTTTTCATATGTTATTTTTAGAAAATCATTTTGAAATGAATGAGAAATTATTCCTTGAAATTCTCTCCGAAACAAGGTTTGTGTAGAACTTGTCCCACACTGAAAATCTTAAACAATATTGAAGGCTTTTTATAACTCAAATATTGATATTCCAAGGGGCACCCAAATTTTGTAAGGAGGGAAGATCCGCACACGGTATGCGTGGAGTTAGACTTCATGCATGCCTTTAAGATGTAAACATGTCTTCAGTATAATTAGTTTCGGATAAGACAACATTTGGGAGAATGGTTGCTACCTTTCTCTAAAGAGACCAGTGTCTTTTAGTATTAGTCTCCTGGCCAGAGTACTATAAATCTCAATTGGTACATGCGTTTTTAAAACATCCATAAAGTCCAAAAATTAACAACTTTTTCATCATCTTCCTCATCCGAACTCCATCACTTTAGTGCATCGTTTAGTTTGTTGTTGTCCTTCGGAAAACGAAAAAAAAGTTCTATCGTGGGAGACAATTATTGCGGGCATATTTGTCTTAAGGAGACAACAAAAATTTATTGGGCTCGATTTCATCATCATATATACCGTACGCTTCTTGTTTCTCATAATTATTTATTTTGTAGATTTTTTAGATACGCAAACAACAAATGTAACTCGATACAAGTCGAAATGTAAATCGCATTAATTGAAATGTAATTTGATGCAAGTCAAAATTAAAACCACATTAATGAAAATGGAACTTGATGTAAGTTGATTCACGTTATGCAACAAAATAGTAGACCCAATCGCAAATACTCGCTAAGTCTGGAACGTACAAGTATTTTAATAGCCTACTAGGTTCGGGCTGGACTGGACATTAATTTTGGGGGGAAAGGTACAAGTATACGCCTGTAGTATTGATGTGAGAACAAATATACCCTTGTTCTATTTTTCGGAACAAATACACCCCTAAAGTGTATGGTGAAGTGCATATATACCTATGAACTTTTAAAAAGTGCAAAAATACCCCTCATGTTCTTATAAAGAAAAAAATGTACCCTTATTGACTTTAAATAGATAAAATAAATTTTAAAAAATACCAAAAATAAATTAAAAATTCAAAATCTAAAAATAAAGATTTATTATTATGTTGAAATATTAACTCTTTAATTTTAAATTGGAATATTATTATTTTTTCCGTTGTAAATGAAGCACTTCAAATTCACAAATATTAAGTTTAGTAGTTTTTGTACACATTGTTATATTTTTTGAAATAACATTCTTTGATTTTGTTTAACCTTAACAAAATTTAATTCACTATTTTGTAATCTTGAACTATTTATTGACATACAAAATATGCAATTTCATAGTGCAAAGAATGCAAAGAATTAATATTTTCTTACATTACAACACATATCATAACACTTTTTTCCAAAGAATCTTAAATATGTAGTAAAGTTTTAAAATAATATTTTATAATAACAATATTAAATTTTGATATACAAACAATAAAATAAGTCGGCTAACAATTAAGCAATATAATTTTCTCTCTCATACGTAGTACTTTTAGGTATAAGTTAATCCGGCTAACTAAAATTTAAGTGAGATAATTTTTTCTCATATGTATTTATAGATTTCATATTTAGGTTATGGGATGCTCCCAGAATGAAGTATGAAATATGGATTTTTTTTATCACTACCATCTTGGGATAAAAAAAACAGACTTCATGTTTCATTGCTTCATTTTGGGAACATCCCTTAACATCATCATCATTTCAAGCAAACACTACCACCTACGGTGGGATAAGGATGGATCCGATGTACGGAACTTTACCCTTGTATTAAAGTACAAAGAGATTATTTCCGGATGACTCATGGTGAAAATCACGTCGAAGATTGCATGAACTGACTGCTGCTTCCGATTTAATTAGTGAACCACTTTACTTTATTTCATCATATTTTGAAGCTAAAAAATAATGCTTCCGATTTAGTTAACCACTTTACTTTATATCATCATATGTTCAAGTTAAAAAACAATGAATCTTTAGCACCGTTACAAATGATGGAATGGAACATCCATTAAATTGCCTTAATGATCAAATTAGTGATCAACAGTAAAAACATGAAAGTCAAAAGTCACGGAATGTACTTATTAAACTCATTTTAGACGGAATTGTGAATATCATAATCAAAACTGAGGGTTTAACCTATAACTAAAATTAAAAGAACCTAGATCGATGATTGACCACATATATAATGTATATCTCATGGAGTAATCTAAGTGGTTTACATGCATACATGATTGACACATATATGCAATATAATAGTGCAAACTTTGGTTGCACGAATTTCTTAAGTCAACATATCCTCAATATCATTAGTTTCACATTGCATAATATAACTGTTTGGACTTTAGATCACTACTGGCCGTTAAAGTAATTCTGCCCGGCCGGCTGCAAAAATTAGTTAGTTATACGTAGGTTTAATCGTAGTGACGCATTAAGTTAAATTAATTAGCTAAATTAGTTTAATCCAACACGATATAATAAATAAATATAGAAATAATTTGGTATGAACACTCGATTTTTACGTGGAAACCCGAAAGGGAGAAAACCACGGGACTTTTTAGGCTAATGTCCAAGCCCTCTCATTCTCATTAATATTGTACTCTTCTGATCACCATTACATAGTACAAGTCATTGATCGAGCTCACATGCATTAATGGATCTCGGATCAGTCAGCCAACAAGCAGTTCTCAAGCCAGCGCAGACAATCTTGATCGGACATGGGCTGTGATGAACTACTCAGCATGGTCTCAACAGCTTCATCACCACCAGTGATAGTGAAGGGCATATTATTAGCCGCAGGAACAAGCAGATCATCATGATGTGTATCTGATGGTGTGGTACAATTATTGTTGAACCCATTATCCTCAAAATCTTTGGTAGAAAAGTTTGAACCCATAATAAATTTGAGTTCATCTTCGAGATCAAATTGATCAAGCCACTGCAGACAGTCTTGAGGGGACATGGCCATGGGCTGTGATGAACTACTCAGCATGGTCTCAACAGATTCATCACCAGTGATAGTTAAGGCGGGCTGCTCCATATTATTAGCCGCAGGAACAAGCAGATCATCATGATGTGTATCTGATGGTGTGGTTATTAAATTATTGTTGAACTCCTCCTCCTCCTCCTCCTCATAAGTGATGTTCTCCTTTCCATTTTTCTTGTGATAATAAATCTTTACCAGCACATAGTCATCTCCCTGCAACAAATTAAAATGAATTGAAAGTTATTACCTACATACATTGGTCAACCTTAGTCAAAGTTAAAAATATTCATCAATATGATATGATCGATAATCTAGCTAGATCTTCCTTAATTAATTAACTAATAATAGCTGCGTTTATTAGTATGTCATGAACTTACAGTATTATGATTGAGAGTAAACTCTTGCATGAGCCAGTCCGTTTTCAGTCCTTTGAAACCACTCTTTTGTTGAAAGCCTTCGTGATATGCAAATGTCTTCTTGGACCCGATTTCCTTCTTTCCGGCCCGGACCGGATGAGAACCGGATGCCCTCCAATACCCATTCCCGGCTTTCCTGCTCGGCCGTTTCCTTGACTGCTTCACGAAGAAATAGCATGCATCTTCTCCCACTGTCCCGTACTTGCCTGCACATTCAATAAATACATGAGTACTGAAACATATATATATATATAAAACGATCGATGATGAAATTAATTATATTACTGCATGTACGTAAATAATATATAGTCGATAATCATGCGGCGGCCATTAATTAATATATTTGAAGTATAATCAATTGTGATCGATCATGAATAATATGGAAATGAATTTGACTACTACGTAATATGGCCGGACTTACAAAGAATGTCCCTGGGATGGGTTTCGTAGATATTAATGGTATGAATGATCGGATGAGTGATGGGCACACCCATAATCTTCCCTCTCAAGAAGTAATCCACCAGCTCCAAGTCCGTCGGCCGGAACCGGTACCCCACACCCAAGAAAGGGTGGTTATTATCATCGCCGCCGGGTGTCCACGCTGACGCCGCCGTGCCATCCATCATCCACCGCCCACCTGCCTCCATCGATATCATATATACCTTGCACCTAGATATATAGTGCGTCGACTTGCAGCACACGTACTATACGTAACCTATAGCTTAATTAGTGATGGCGGGACTAAGTGATAGATAATGTAATGATTGTAATAAAATGATGAGATGGATGGAAATAGAAACCCTAGGCTTTATATATATATCAGTCATACGGAATACGTAGTATTAGTTAGTTAGGTTTCTTAATTAATACGACAATTGATTCATTTAGTTTAAACTTTAAACATTTAATGAATTTTTCTTAATTAGTTTATTTAGCTATCACTAATAAGTACATGTTTAGCATGCATATCATACACCATTTCACCTTTTACATATTTCATACACCGGTATAGTTAGGGGGCGGGGCCAACCATGGCCTCGGTCCACCCCAAATTTTAAAAATGTCTATATTTTTTATATATAATTTATTCCAAAAATATTCTCTGTACTGGCCCGATCCCCCCAATGCCATCGCTCCGCCCCTGACTTCATATATTCATGATGACAAACTTAATTAATTAGCTAATAAAACATACTACTGGTTTTGCATCCAACTGATATTGTTATATTTTTATTATGTACAATTGCATTTTTAATTAGTTTCATTGTTTGTTGTTGTGGAAATTACACACTTTTGGTGTAATTACTTTATTCTTCTATATAGTTGTAATTTGTTTAGATCAGGATTATTCTGAACTTAAAAGTGGTCAAGATCATTTAAAGGATCAAAATTGGACTCCAAAAGGTCAAGAAAAGTGCAAGAGGACAAGATAAAAAGAAGATTGACAAAATATTTCATATACCCGTTTAGGTATAGGCGATACCCAATCGGGTATTGAGTTGATTCAGGTGTCAAAATCAGAATCTGGAGAGACCAAAAAAACGTGCCTGATTTTGATGATTTGGCTCATCGCCGACCAGGTATGTCCACAAAAGTGACTTTCCGGTAAACTGCCTAAAACATCCGATCAGGTACCCTATATACCCGATCGGGTACACAACCCTGCCACCTCCAAACACCTATAAATACACCACTTTTCCTTCACAATAAAATCACCAATTCCTTTATACTCTAAAGCTCAGTTTAGTTAAGTATTTCCTTTACATTTTTAGCATGCATGTTTAGTCTCCAAATGAGGAGCTAAACTCTTCCATCCTGATTTTGCTACGTTGAAGCTTAATGATTTGTAAGTTGTGAGTTATTTTGTTTAATCATCTTCCTTGAATATTAATCAATTCCTATTCATATTTCATATTAATATTTTGAGCATTACTTAAAGGATCAACTAGTTTTGTTTCATATATTAACTATTAATAGAATCGATTGACGAATATGCTTGTTAATCGTTCGGTCCTTTCACGGTAGTAAACTTGGATTATTAATGCATGCGTCTCATGGTTAATAATCTAAGGGGAATTAATTATATTGATTAAACCAATAAACCGCTTGTGTTGATGTTATCAATCTCAATCGTTTTCATCTTAAGTTTTATTGCTACTATTGGGTCAATATACGGTGCGTGTTCTGTATTGATTTGATAGTAAGTTTTATTAATGAAAGCATCTCGTTATTAAAATAATTAACTATACTCGATGAATTGAATATACTCCTCGATTGAGTATTCGAGAGGAAGATAGTTAAAGATATACCCGAGATCGACGAATATTTCATTAAGTGGATTATATAAGGAAAGCCAAGTCTCAAGCTCGAATTAATTAAACCACATAAGTCATTCATCTTAGTGTTTAAATATTCTTAAAGTTCAAAAACAATATTAACCCCCCCTTGTTACTAGTTATGTAAAAGAGAAGTATTCATTTCCTTGTGGATACGAACATTACTATGTTATATTGCGGTATTAGTGCGAGTATTGTATTTATATTGAGGCACACTATGACAAAGTGCCGTCAAATTTAGCGTCGTTGCCAGGGATAGGCAATAATTTTTCTTTTCAATTTATTTCAAAAGTCCAAGGTTCCAAGAATTATAAAGAGTATAAGGAATCATGTTAATTGATGCCCCTAAGTCTAACACGGCCCTAGAAATTGTGTCCCCTAGCTTGAAAGGTATAGTGAACATTCCTGGGTCAGTGCATTTTTCGGAAGTTTCTTTTGAAAAACTGTCGAGACATGATCACTAATTTCAATTTTATGTTTTCCCTTTAAGCGGTGTGTCCTCTTGATTGTGCATAATTCTTTTAAAAATTTAGCGACTCGAGGGACACTTTTAATTAAGTTAAAAAAAATAAGTTAAGGAGTGAGATATTTACCTCACACTTGGCGAAGGTCTCATAGATATCCGCTTTTCTCTCCAGCTTCCTTGTTTATTTGAGTGCTTCAGGGAATGTTGGGAGTGGTTTGTATGATGACAATGGTGGGAATTTGGACTTTCTTTTCCCTACTATCTTTCACAATCATAATGTATAAGAGCACTAATTTTTTAACAAAGAAAAAAATTATTCATTTTTATGAGAAATACATTTCTGAACTACATATTGTCAAAATAAGCACATTTCCGAATAATTTCAACTACATATAACATCATTTTGCAAAATACTACCGACTTTCCTCTATATCGAATAGATGTCTTGTTTGGATTTGACAAACACACTTAGAAAATAGTTCAAAAGTAAAAGTAGATGTGGAGATTTTAATTGAAATGAATGAAATAGTATGAATCACTTATTTCATCCCAAGACGTTTATTTTGAGATAACCAAAAACAGAAAATAGCACATTTATTTCGAGACAGCGGGAGTAGTATTTCATCAATCATCATCAATTGTTAGATATATGCATCTTAAGGAAGCTGAGCTACTTGCATAAAACCATGGTTTGTTTAGGACAATGTTCTCATAGACTATTGTGTTATGAACCATGTATAGTAGTTGCAAATCAACTACTTTTATAATGGATTATAAAAGTAAGAAATACTACGTATATAACTTCTAATAGATTTTGGGAAAATTCTCGAAATAGGAGTAAAAAAGTTTGAGAATTCTAAAATAGGACTGTCATGATTTTATTCCTTAAGTAAGAATAATTATTGTCAAGCTTGAAAAATAGTGTCATGTTTAAAGTCTGGTATTGTCAAACTTTTTACTCTTATTTGCACTACTACATTTTCGGGTCTTTTGTAACAGCAGAATTCGTGACCTTTGGTCCAAAAAATTGTTACATTCGACTTATTGTAATAGTTTCTCGTCGTTACATTCGCTCGCGTTGCATCTGCTCTAATGTAACGACTTGTAACGAAATTTATGACCAAATGTAACGGTCCTCACAACATGCCGTAAATGTTACAACAGATTGTTTACAAATGTAACAGTTTTGAACAAGCACAAAGGTAACGGTTTTGAAAGCACGTTGGCCCTGATTAATTATGTAATGTAACAGTTTATGTATTTGCACGCATGCAGCCAGGATGTATTTACACACCTATAGCCATGAATATAACTCGCTGCCAATTTAATTATAACTACATACAAAAGTTGTCCCCAATATCAAATCCATTACATTACAAACCAAGCAACTTAAGTTGTACAAAAGCATTCAAAAGTTAAAGATCAATGAAGTTCAAAACAATTCCTGTGTAACCAAAGTAGCTATGTTAAAAGCTCTTTGAAAGAGACATGAGTTTGATAAGTAGCAAAATGTTGAACATCATGCTCACAAAGCAAAAGCTACTACTAGGAGAAGCTCAAGTGACAAATCATGGGTATGCATCATTCATCATTTGATTCCATTATATTCCATCTTCATCTTCATGTTAATCCCTCACCTGTAAAACAAACATTTCAAATAATTAAGCAATCTTGTTATATACTACAATTATTTATAAGGGTTTGAGCAATTGAGTACGGGAACTCATATTCACATCTGAACTACAAAGTATAATGCTAAATGTATGATAACTAATTAACACACAAGCTTAACAATGATGAACATGAACTATCAAGCATACTTTTTGTCAATCAAAGTTCCTGAGAACAAATAAAAATTGAGCACAGGATATGGAAATAATCTCAGATTCTTATTCAAGGTTTAAATATGTTGTTTCAACAGTTAGACCGCTACCCATTTCACATTTGAAGTGCTATCATGATACATTTTTGAAAGACATATTTAACTTTTAATATAGAATGGTGAACTGTAATATATATTAATTACTGAGCATTGAGCTTAGTCCTTGTCCAAGTTCCCTACTTAGATTATTTAATTTGTTTGCTTCTAATCTTTAAGTTCTGCAAAAAAAAAAAAAAACAAAATATGAACTCACATGTACACAAAACCTTGCACATTTTTATGCATATATACAAATGTATATGATGGCCTGAAAGAATCAAGCTATAAATATATATTTCGTACATTACAAGATAGGAAGGTCTTAGACTATAATGGCTAGTTAATTGCATCCTCTCTTTTTTCCTTTTTTCTTTTTTTTTTTCTTTCCTTTTTTATTTTTATTTTTTATTTTTTTCACTAATTGCATCCTCTTTTATTAAGAGCAAAACATTTAAAGTATTGCACAACAAAATGAAAATGATATAATGAATCAGAACATGTTTACCATGATTCAGAGATTTCAAAATCTTTTGTAAGAGGTAAAAATAAGCAATGCTTCTCTATCAAACCAGTCAAATGTTGAAGTATCATTGAGATACATGTGGCTGAGCTCTTATAGGGACCTGGAAGTTTGAGTGAAACTGAGCATTAAGCAATAGCATACATTTAAATTTCAAACTCCCATTGTTTATGTCCTATAACTACTAGTTTCTAGTGCAAATAAGAGTTATATACTTAGTTCTTAGTAATATTAGAATAATAGGATTAAGGTTCTGCAATCGCAATCATCTCGTGTGGTAAGAACTATAGAATGAAGCATTAAAATATTCATAAAACCACTAATAAGGAATGATGCAAAATCTAATCCTAGACGTATGTAGGTTGGGAAGGAGAACAGAAATATCAACCTGCTCAAGAATTTTTTTTGAGGAGTGTAATACATCACCTCATTTATACTATAAAACTGCAAAACAAACATCATCAAGTGCTTACTGTT